GCTTGGTGTTGACTATTCTAGGCTATATTACTGGGATCATTTATGCTCTCCCTGCAATCGTTTTCATTGATCGCGATCGGTTCCATTACTATCAACTTGCTCAGTACCAAATTGAGTACTGTTCTCGATTTCCTCATACTTCACCATTGTTATTTGTCGCGGATGTATAATTTTTACTGTGTGATTGAATTTTAATGGTGTAATTTAACTTCAAAACTGAGGTTTATACTTCGTGATATCTTTATCTGTTTAGGTTGACTCTGCCATTATGATTGTTTTTAGATTTGGATTTTATGATAATTGTCATTTCAAGTTTTGCCAGTTTTGTTTAAGAAATTTCTGATAATTTCTGTTATGGAGAATGAAAATTGTATCATCGATCTTGAGCCCTAGAGTTATGTCTTCTTTGTTTATAGTTCTAAATCGAAAATTGACTCTTCAATACGTTATCTGAAGCAATTATTTTGTTTCAAATAAAAGATGTAGACTATTATTACGTAAGAAGGATATTTCTCTTCTTGTTTAACTAATCAAAGGAAGAGAATGATGCCTAATTATTAATTAATTTAGACCAAGTGCATGTAAGGAATTGTAAGCAATATAATGCAGGGGAAACTAAGTGCATACAATTTCGAAACGGAAGTTAGCCAATGAGTTACGTCTAACGTTTTTCAAAATTTAGTGACCAAAATTCGATGTCATTAAAACAATCGAAAACATATACATAAGTTCAGTGATCATTGGAACAATTAACTCAATTTTAACATAATCATAATCAATCCATTGTGTTATTATCTTTTAAGGATGACGACAAAGAAGGTAAAATAACCGACTCAGGAGAACTCTCTCATGGTTTGGCTGATTTAACTCACGAGTGCCTCATTAACATCCTCTTGCGCCTGTCTTTGGCAGACTGATGGCTGGGGGCCATGCGGGTGTGTAAGGCATGGCTGCAGGCAAGCAATGACCCGTGCCTCGACTTGGTGTTCTACCTCGAGACTTATTTTGATTCGGTCATTGAGTTTCCACGATTCTGGACCTCGTGTTTGAACGCCGGGTTGATAACATGATCCTATTCATCTTCATCTGGAGCGATGGGTCCCTCACCGAAATCCGTGTTACACTCTACTCGGGTCGCTTTCTCTATTTGATTGCTCAGAGGTATGTGTGATCGATCAGAAAAAGAATTATAATCAATATATATTCACTGTCATCCTTCATTGTTGAAGTACTTTCTGCATGTTCAATTTATAAAGAAGATCCTTTTCGTGATTCTATTGCTAACTGTATGTATTTCATTCTTGTAGGTGGAGTTTTTCATATGCTCGGTGTTGACTATTCTAGGCTACATTACTGGGATAATTTATGCTCTCTATGCAATCGTTTTCGTTGATTGCGATCGGTTCCGTGACGATTGCTATCAACTTGCTTAGTACTAAATTGACT